TGCCGAGCCACATGCATACAAAAATTATCCCTCTGTAATGCAGTGACTATGATCTTTTTAAGAACCTTAGTGTTTCCTCTCATGAAATTATTCACACATATCTAGGCCTGTAAACCATAACCACTTTATAAATCATTAATTCAGGGTTCCCACACTTTTTGACCAATCGATTTCCATTACTTTTTCAGGCGTTCATGATTACTGGACAGAGTTTGTTCAGTGTATTTCCATTTGTATGTAACATGAATTAATAGTTTTGCATATTATACTTATTAAATGTCTCAATTAAGACCCTTTACAGACAGACTGATGTTATCACGTTGGTTTCTGTGTAAAGTTTACTCCACACTCAAGCAAGCTGATTAAATATGGCCAGATACCGTCTCAGCTGGTTACGCTTAAGGATCCAGAATTTACGGCGACCCAACAAAACTAAAACTGGGCATAAACGCCTGCGAGTCCCTCTATGCCGAGCCACATGCATACAAAAATTATCCCTCTGTAATGCAGTGACTATGATCTTTTTAAGAGCCTTAGTGTTTCCTCTCATGAAATTATTCACACATATCTAGGCCTGTAAACCATAACCACTTTATAAATCATTAATTCAGGGTTCCCACACTTTTTGACCAATCGATTTCCATTACTTTTTCAGGCGTTCATGATTACTGGACAGAGTTTGTTCAGTGTATTTCCATTTGTATGTAACATGAATTAATAGTTTTGCATATTATACTTATTAAATGTCTCAATTAAGACCCTTTACAGACAGACTGATGTTATCACGTTGGTTTCTGTGTAAAGTTTACTCCACACTCAAGCAAGCTGATTAAATATGGCCAGATACCGTCTCAACTGGTTACGCTTAAGGATCCAGAATTTACGGCGACCCAACAAAACTAAAACTGAATATCTATAGATGTAAACAATGAAATATGTTAATTAATTAATTAATGGTAATGTATTATCAAATTAGACAACTGTCTAATTTGTACATGGCTTCAACAAAGTCACAGATGTGTTGGTGCCAAAACACCAAAATAGAGTTTAACTGGATGTTGATTTTTTGGTTTATGACCCACCAAATTGAGAATTAAATTTTTAAAGCCATTTGAAATTTATATATATTTTAAATATATAATTAAATAATTAATTATATTTGGATACATTTATTTAAATGTACACTACAATTTAAAAGTTTGGTGTGTCAGTAAGAATTTTTTAAATAAATTAATACTTTTATTCAGCAACAATGCATTAAATTGATCAAAGTGACAGTAAAGACATTTATAAAGTTACAAAATATTTATATTTCAAATAAATATTGTTCTTTTGAACTTTCCATTAATCTAATTAATTAATTAATTAATTAATTAATTAATAAACAAATGTGAAAACCAGAAATCTGAAATCCACAAAGATAACAAGCAGCAGAAATGCAACTGTTTTCAACATTTAAAATAATAAGAAATGTTTATTAAGCACCAAATCAGCATATTAGAATTATTTCTGACACTGACTGGAGTAATGATGCTGAAGATTCAGCTTTACCATCACAGGAATAAATTGCATTTTAAAATAGATTAAAATAGAAAATAATGATTTTAAATTGTAATGATATTTCACAATATTACTGCATTTTTGAGCAAGTAAATTCAGCCTTGGTGAGCATAAGAGACATCTTTAAAAAAAATTATAATAATAATCCTACCATCTTTAAACTTTAAATGGTAGTGTATATCCACCATGACTTCAAATTGTATTCCTTTTCCATGCCTAGAAATATTTTTCCATGACTGTGGTAATCCAGCTCACTACAGTATCAATACAGAGGATATACATGAAAATTAGTGAGTTTATGAGGTAGGAAAAAATGCTTTAAGGGTGGTAAAAATGCAGGACTCTACAAAATCTAGAAATCTACAAACAAAAACAATTGTATTTAAACTGCAGTTCAGAGATTAATGGGCAAAAAGTCATTTTGCCTACTAATCCCAAATGTTTTTGCCCTGTTGTATAAATCTAAGCAATGCTGCCTGATGCAATACTTGCCTAAACATTGTAAAATCCTATAAGCTGTGCTCCCTGATGCAATATGAAATGTTCAGTGCATCACAACATTTTGAAATTGTTAGCTGGCACTTCTGCATATCACTAGCGGTCGTCTGTTTTCGTTGTCATGTTGGAAGTCCTTTATCTGTAGGTGCAGACCCCTCACACTTCAGCAGCTGAATTTTCTCTGCTTTCACACTCTCATTTAGAATAGAAATATATACACACGCGGTGAGGCCAGGTCTACCGCATTTCAAAGCATGTGAATCTCCCTGTAATCAAAATTTCTCATGTTATACATCACAATTTCATTCATACACTGCAGTGCTGTCTCTAGACCCCAATACTGAGCCCAGTCCCAAAGAGGGAGGGCTAAATGGAGAAAGAGGTACAAACGCAGTTGAGCGCAGGACAGCAAAGTGTCTCAGTGATAGCACACCATCGGGCACCCACCTTTTTCCCCCTATAATCCCCACCATTTCCACACTCGCATTCCTAGACAACAGTGGTCCCGCGGGGAGCCCGCTCAGCCTCTCCGGGGCGCAGCACACCTAAAGGGATTAGGACTGCGAGACGGAGACCTGGAGAATTTCTGCCGAGCATTCAGCTGCCGCTATCACGCCAGCATCCTGCAATGTCCCTAAGCGTGCCGCTTAAGGGGTTGGCTGATTTTTTATTTTCTCTCTGTAAGCCCCAAACAGCTTCTTGCAGCCCCCCATCCCCCTAAAAGCCTCCAACAGCCACCCTGCCCGTGCACATAGAAGAAATGTATATTTGTTTCCCCATTATTGAATATGGTTGTTTATGTGCAAAGGTGTTCCATTGTGCACGAATGCGTCTATGGGTCAATAAGAGTACACAATAAAGAAAAGCAAAAATCTTATAAAAATCTAGTTTAAAACACATGTGCCAAGTTCTTACAAATGTACTTTGTTGGTTTCATGTGGTTATTAAAATGTTTTATACCTTTAAAACTAATAATAATCTAATAAGTCATGCGGTGGAACTATCAAGTAAAAAGTAGTGATATTTTCCTTACAGCTTGAATACACGTGATGTAAGTATACACACATTAAAGGCACAATGTGTAATTTTTTGCCACTAGAGGGCGCGTATTCAAAACAAACAAAGAAACAAAGGCGTAGTTTGATGACGCCGTGACTGAGTGTGGAATCATGGGAGTTGTCGTCTTCATCCCCACAGCCGAAGCAATCCGACAGGACTCGGGCAGAAATCATGTTCATGGATGAGCTAATGTATTAAAGATTTATTAACGACAATCAGCTTGTAACACTCCAAAGAGAAAGGAAAACTTGAAATCGCATCATATGACCCCTTTAAAGATTTATTAACGTCGTAGTATGAAGCAGGGTGAGGCAGAAAGCTCTAAACCGGAAATCGAGGGGTTATGACGTCATTGGCAGGCGACACTAAGGTCCGTGTCACTAGTTAAAATCTGGATTTAAACATTCTTCGAAACATTTGGGATAATGCAAGTACACAAGTCAGCAAAATATATAAAACTGTTATTGTGGTTTTTGGATATTTTAATAAAAAAATCTTACATATTGTGCCTTTAATCATTATTTTTAAACAATATTATATGTTTATAATTTTTTAAGGGAAAAAAATATTTTTAATAAATATAATAAATAACTTATTTTTAGGGAGCCACAGCACATTTTACAAACCCGAACCTGAAATTTACACAAACATGAGGGTCTGCAGGCATACTTGTTATTCTATCATTTACCGTTTTATGTTTTGTTCTACATGTTTCTGCATTTTGATTGCAGCACATGATTGTGTTGGTCATACCACATGACTTCGGGACAAAAGGTTATTCACATATTAATTCAGTTAAGCATTTATAATAGAAATAATAGTAAAATATGAACCTTCTTATCAAAAAATTGCACATTTAGCATTTTCTTCATTATTATAGCCTATTAGGACAGTTGTGTCCCCTTTATTTTCTTTTACTTAATTTTGCCAAAAATAAAAAAAACAGTAGAAGTGCTATGCCTGCAAGAGTAACTTTACTTTTGTGTTAATAGCATTGCTCATAACCAATCAAAAGCATTAAATAACTGTTCCTTCTGGAAATCAAATAGGAGGATAAAAGGACTAACATAACGGGAAAAAAATGAAATCTTAGTATAACATAATCACAAACTGGCTAAATGGTAAAAAGCTGCCTAAACAAATTCAATTCTTTCATAAATCTCACATGAATACAGACCGCTGCATGTTTTGACCAATTCTGCAGTGCAAGAATATCATCATGTACAGTATTTCTCTCTCACTCTCTCCTGATTAATGCTCTGAGGTCATTCCAGAGGGATTAGTTTTTCTGTTCTCTTGACAGCTTTGAGAGGGACAGACACACTTTTAGTCTGACCCAGCAGTAAATAACCTTCCCATTTGTTCACACAGACCATTATAAGCAATGTCTGCAGTGGATAATTCCAAAATATGGCAAAAAAAATGGCATCTGTAAAGACATGATGGCTTTTCTCAAAAACGACTTTTCTGGGCCATTTTTGCTAGACAAGAAAATGCCCAATATTTACTGTACAACAAAATTTTAGCTTATGCTATGCTTCTTTAAAATAAACATCACTTGGTCTAATATTTTGTTACATAATGTTGTGATATTCATATATTTTAATTTTTAGGTGTGACTTCCAAATCATTTTTGTGTTCCATTGGCTGTTGGATTTAGGCAGGTGTTTAGAAAGATGAATAATAATCTCAATAGGTCTCATGCAGTTCATGTTTGCAGAAGCTTCACGTCATGTATGTGATATTACAATGTGCTGTTCTGTGATAGGCTGCATGTGATATAAACACAAACACATGTGACTGACTGCAGTCCTACCTGAGTCTCCACCGGGCACAGCGCGCGGAGCAGAGGCAGCATACACCGCTAAAACACACGCGGCTGTCGCTCCCGTCAGCGTCCACGACAGCTTGTCCGACGACATTGCAGCCGTCTTCTAAATTTTGAAGTTAGTGTTAGTTATTTGAAATTGTATGCATGTTACACGTTTGTTCGACGTGTCTCGAGACCCATTCGTTTCGCGCGTCTAGTCTACAAACGGCGCGTACTCAGAATATACCGGTCAATTCATGTTTATTCTCGGACCCGCACCAATAAACGGAAGCTGTATTACCGAAGTAAGGTTTTAAAATAACAACGTTATCGTTTAAGTTACCCGCTATCCTTGTGCCAGCAATTGTATGGACTGCATTGCAATGTTGCTCTTAACAGCGGCGTTTGCGCCAATATCAACGTTATAAATATCGCGCCAGTAGCGTTTTAGTCTTCGCAGTAGAACAATCGACACAACATCTCACTGGCTGCATTTAGGCTACATCTGCACGGTTGATCTCTCGACTTTTTTCGCCTGGACTCGAGGATGATCAAATGGTCTTTTTGGGATAGTGCTGGATTTCACTTCCTGGTTGGGCGGGGTTTGTTGTAGCGCTTGTAAAAAATTACCATAGTAACCGTAGTTTCCTGCAAAGTTACTGCAGTTCTTTTGTATACCTGCAAAATCATAATAAATAACTATAGGATCTCCATTAAACACTGTATAAGCTTTCAAATACCTCTTCATTTTGTTTAATCTCTTCTCTCTTTCTGAGGACAATGTTTGACTAATGTAGAAACTGTAGTAACTATATACTATGCTTATCATGTTTTGTTTCTTTCTTTTTTTTTCATCCTAACCATATTTCTTGCTGTTCTAGAGGTAGGACAGTTTTTTAGGCTTTAATCCCACCATAATCTAGTGATGTGTAAACTCAGTGCCTACTATTATGATTAATTATTGCTTTACTATAAACATAGCCTTTCAGAAAGTGTTACTTTAACTGTTACTATTACTAACATCAAAATAAAAAGAAAAATGAATATTCTAAAAACGTCACAAATATTCTTTTATTATAGTTGAATAATAACAGTAACTGCAGCTGGCAACTTGTGTAACTTGAAAAGTATCTTCGCCTAAAAAAACCAACAGAAAAACATTGGAAAAAACTTAAAATAAATAAAACTTGAAATTAGACTAGGACCATAAACTTCAATCCATTATTTTAATTTATTTCAAATTAAATATGTCATCTGCCCTGCTCTTTTAATTACCTTTAATTATCATTTTTTGTTTATTTTCCTAAGTGTGTGTGTGTGTGTGTGTGTGTGTCTGTGTGTGACACATTCAATCAGGCTAAAATTATTTGTTTTATCATTTTTACAATTAGCGTAATGAGTAGCAGTAAAATTCCTTCTGGTGGCAGAAGATGCGAGATGTGGATGTAGTACGAGACCCTTCAGTGCCTGACGAGTGGAAAGGTTACCCTCATAAAAAACGTCATGCCAGACTGATCATTAATCCTCCACTATCTAAAGTGAGTCTGATCCTTGACTAAATTAAGAGCTCTGAGAGGCAGAGATGTGTCAGCACCTCCGAGTTCATAATCCTCCACGCTCCCCCCCTACTACGGTCCCTACTGTCTAATCACTGATTCAACCACCTCCCTGACACACATACACACACACACACACACACTGTCTGCCCTGCTCTAACACACATACACAAGCCTGTTTCTTTAAAGCAAAATATATAAATATCTCTTTAGAAACATTTTAAATTGCTTCTAGGACAATATGTGTAATGAAAGTGAAATCATAATATAGAAATGTTCCTAAATAATACATACCCCGTCATCTTAAACCAATATACAACAGCAGACTTTAACTAATGTATATAGTTTTCTCTCTAAGCCACAAAGAGTGAAATAACATGCACATAATTCAATTTACATTAAATTTTTTTGCAATATGGCTCCAAATAAAAGGGAGGAACGTTGATGCCAGTTACATAAGCAGTAAAAAAGATACCAGCCGTTTGCGGTGCTAGACATATGCCTTCAAATTTAAATATTAAGGATAAAAACTAAGAGTCGGTTAGAGTGCAGTATTCATACAATTCAAATGCAAAGGATGTGAGAATTATTCATTTGGGTTGAAATGTTAAAGGAGAAGGCTTAGTTTGTTTGTTTTTCTTTGACAGGTTAATCTGGGTCATTCTTGGTGCGTCTTAATTCTGCATCAAGGCAAATCTGCAGTTCTGAAAGTTCAGGGGTTTGTTTTACCATTTATGTGCAAGTATGAATAATTAAGGATAAAGATACGAAGAATACCCCAAAAATAATAAACTACAAAAAATTAATTTATAATAATATATATTATCTATGATCTATGAATAAGATAAGCATTTATTATGAATATAAAAAATGATCTTGATTGTGTGTGTGTGTGATTTTATATCTATATAAAAAATTAATTTGTTGACCTTAAAAACGCAAGTATTTACTCTATACTTTTTTTTTAGGGAGATGCCTGCTGACTACAGCCAGTGCAGAGAAGAGAGCAGAAAACCACAGTATTTTAAGAGCAAAGCCATCATGGTAACACTTCACATATTGACGTCTGCACATAAATTCAATCACTCAGTGCATCAGTGAAAACTGGATTAGGTTTTCCTAAATCGCAGATAAATCCGCCACTCATTGCAATATGGTTCAGCTCCAGCCTGTTGCTTACTATCTGCTTACTTACTGTACACTGACAGTCTGTTTTAATCTAAACCCAAGAGCCTAGCAAACAAGTGGATTTTCAATAAAGCCCTTTAAAAATCTGTAGAGAAAAATCCCATGATCCTCTGTGTTAGCTACACAAATATGCACAGCAATGAAAGGATTCGGTCTGAGACAGATTAATTGCAGTGGTAAATGCAATGCGTCTCTCATGTAGTGTGTACTATGTATTACTGCACGCTATTTTATTAATATACAGCTCTATCAGACGAGCTTTTTACAATCTCTGAGACAAGCATGTAGTGATATTGGGATCTTGGTTTCTTGAAAACCAACACGAAACAAAAAGGCGATCCTTGCGCACATCAACCGACAATTCAAGGGGCATTTAGGCCACCTTTGTCTTCTGTTTACCTCCTTGTGGTTTACAAATCACTCCAATTAAAATCCCCGAGATTAGGACAATTGTGATTAATATTCTTTGGTGGGGCCTGGAGTATGAGACGCAACAAAAGCAAGGGCTGCTTGGAATTGCCTTGAGCAGAACACCTAATGGCGGCTAATTAAAATAAGAGGATTCAATTTGGCCAAAGCAACAGGAACCTAAAGATAATGCATGTATCTAAAATTGCAGAAGATGCCACACTCTTGATTCTGCTTCTATCATGTTTGTTATGGCATTTTCGCAAATGACTTGCAGCCGATTGCAATAAACCCTTTAATAAACACTATTGGAAGAAATAAATGCAGCCTTGGTGAGCAGAAGATACTTCTTTCAAAAACATGAAAAACGCTACTCAAACTTTTGAATGGTAGTATATATTGAACAATAGTATATTTATGAATTAACATTCATCTGGATTAATAACTGCTGTAAAAAAAAAAAAGTTTTTAGTGCATGATTCCTAATATATTAACTAATATTAATAAGTTTTAGCAAATTTTGACATAATGGAACCCAACCGAAAAGTTGACCGAACTAAATGAAGTGGTTATGACTTCAAGAAAAGAGTGAAACACCAGAAAGGTTTGAGCTGTGTTACAGAGACGCGTAGCGGTGAGACTGCCAGGTTGAAGGAGAGTGAGTGTGTGTGTGTGTATGTGTGTGTGTGTGTGTGTGTGTGTGTGAG